AATCACCCAGCTTGTTTACCGAAGCTCCTGGCGAATGTTTTCCTGCGAAGGCCCCAGTGTACCTTCATATAAGAATCCCAAAAGCACTCCAACACCATCCCAAGAGCACTCCAAGACTATATATACCCCCCCAAGCAGCATTTCGCTTGCTGGTTCATAGTATGGAATGAGGGAATGACGATGAGGTAGCCAATGTCCCCGACACTTTCCCCTTAAGGGATTATCTAGGGTGCAGCTTGGAGGCTGCTGGGCCCAAGGACCTTGCACCCGAAATGAAAAAGCACCGCCACATGCGCTACTTCTCTCCAGCAGCCACACACGCTACTTCTCCAGCAGCTTGCAAGGAGCTTGTAATCCATGGGCTAAATGACGGATGCTCATGCGGTAGTTACTGCAATGTTTCCTATTCTGTTGTCCAAGATAGCTGCTGATTCAGCGGAGCCTGCATGACAATGCTAAGTCTCGGCAAGCCCAACCCCGGCAGATCAAGAATGTGGATTAGGATCACTGACAATAGAAGTGTAGCGGCCCTCCCCTCCCCTCTCCTTCCCCTCCCCTTCCCCCCCTCCCCTTCTCTCCCCCCTCCTCCCCGCCTAAAGACCTCCAAATGATAAACGGACAAACAGGCCCTTAGGCCTGGCAAGCTGCAGTGCACGCGGAAAGTTGAAAGACAGAAAGATGCATAGTCTGAGCCATTTCAGAAAGGCCGCATCCCTTCCCACTGTGCTTCTTGAGGTCGTTGCTTGAATGAGTCTTTTGGGGAATCGTGTTCGGGCTTTCGTATCTGCATCACAAAAAAAGTCGCGGGGGAAGCTTAGCAGCGGGCTTACGAGTCTACTCTTACCAGCATTCGATGTAGCTGGTCAGCATCGTATTCTTACCAGCATTCGATGTAGCTGGTCAGCATCATTGCTAACAGCACGGCTTGCAAGGGGCGGATTGGTTGACTCCCCGGAACCCCACACTTGACATCAACCCTGAAACAAGTGAAGCCCCAAGCCCGTTTGGCTAAGGCTGACACAGGGTCTCCTGATCTTATGGTCCCAATAAAACCTGAAGCACGCTCTGGGACAGGTGAGCCGTTGGGTACAACCACAGAGGCTGTGACTAAGACTCTGTCTAACTGGGTTGGCCTTTAAACCATCGGAAAAATATCTATATATAGGGCCCCTCATGAACCCAAATAAGGAAAATACGAAGTGTCCCAAAAACCAACTTAGCTAAGGCCCGACCTAAGAAGGCAGGAGCTTTTGGAGGTTCTACGCAGGAGCACAACAACTGGAGCCCTGCCCAAACCCCTGCAACATGCAACAGTTCCAGACAGATTTTGGGCTTCATGGCCCTAAACCCTACACCCTACACCCTAAACCCTAAACCCTAAACCCAAAACCCTAAACCCTAAACTTTAAACTTCATGGGGTTCGAGGCTCAACCTGTCGTCCTCTCCGAAACTGCTGTCCACTTTCCCGGGAACCGGCTTCTTGCGCCTCCTACACAGAGAGCTTGGGGGGTTTAGGGTTTAGGGTTTAGGGGTTTTAGGGTTTTAGGGTTTTAGGGTTTTAGGGTTTTAGGGTTTTAGGGTTTTAGGGTTTTAGGGTTTTAGGGTTTTAGGGTTTTAGGGTTTTAGGGTTTTTTTTAGCCACCCGTCTAGCCATGCTCCACGGGGCAACAGAAGAGGGAATGCTGTGTACATACAACTTCAGAGCCCAACTTTACGATTTGCTTGGGTTTAGGGTTTTGGGTGTGGGGTTTAGGGAATTTAGGGTTTAGGGTTTAGGGCTTGGGGTTTACTAGAGTTGGTTTGGGCTTGGGATGTTCCCCCTTATGCTGGCAGTCCGTAGTAGGGATTAGAGTTCCCCCCCCCCCAGTGTGATCCCTGTTCAGGACTCTTAGTGTCAGGGGGAACATCCCAAGTTTGGGCTTACAAGGTGGGAGATTTCGTTTCGCAGGGCATGCAGTAGTGGTAGTAGTAGTAGTAGTAGTAGTAGTAGTAGTAGTAGTAGTAGTAGTAGTAGTAGTAGTAGTAGTAGTAGTAGTAGTAGGAGTAGTAGTAGTAGTAGTAGTAGTAGTAATAGTAGTAGGATGTGGGTCGACTGAGTCTACAGTATACGTCCGTCTTCCTAAAGCCTCAACTTCTGAAAACAAGCCCTTAAGACGAAACTCTCAAAAACGATATTTTTGACAAACAAAATGAATTTAAAACTAACACAGGGAATTCGTGGGCTGCGGGGTTTACCTCGTTTGGGGACCAAGGGACTTAGATCTGAAGCTTGGAGGTTTCTGTGCTCCTTTGGGCAGCCAGGGAGAACAATGCAAGCAACAGACTGGGCAAGGCAATCCTAAACCCTAAGCCCTAATTAAACCCTAGACCCTAAACCCCAAATCCTAAACCCTAAACCCTAGTGAGTTGCTGGTCTCAGGCGAGTTTCACCCCGAAAGCCCATGTTGCACAGGGCTTCGGCGCTCAGGGTCTGTGCGGGGGAGGGTCTGGTCCATAGGGGATTACCACGCGCACCTCTCTCGACACAAAAGGTCTAAAGGGCTCTAAACCCTAAACCCTAAACCCTAAACCCTAAAGCCGAATCTCAAGTGGCCCCGGTCCCACGACCCAACACGTCTTACCAGTTCACTCTGGATGATGGTGCCTTTGTTGGGTGTTCCCTAAGTATCTAGAAGGGCCCCCCCCGCCCCCTTCATACAACAGACCCTAAACCCTAAACCCTAAACCCTAAACCCTAAAAAGGTTCACAGGAAAGTCCCCTGCCCCCTCTTTGCAAAGGCCTCAGAGGCAACTGGAGCTGGACCGGGTCAGGGTCTTCTCGGCGTGGTTGATCACTGGCTCGCCCTCATCCTCATGCGCCTCTCCACATGCAGTGGGATGTTCCCCCTTATCGGGTTTAGGGTTTAGGGTTTAAGGTTTAGGGTTTAGGGTTTAGGGTTCAGGGTTTAGGGTTTCCACTCTAGAGTTCAAACTTCGTAGTTTGTTACTATTTGCTTAAGAACCCCCTCAAAACACAGAAGACAATAATCTAGCATAATCCTTACATTGCCCTCATGAGGAAGAATATTCTTTTAGTTCTTGTGGGCTTCTTAAGCAATTAGTAGTTTAGGGTCTAGGGTTTGGGGCCTTACACAACTGGGACCCAGTGCTTGTGGAAAGATCCTTCTTGACACTACAGTTTGGGCTGGACAGCCGGTACCGGGCTGCGTCAGTCCGCATGGCTTCGTGCATATGGCCAGCTTTTCTCCTGGCTCTTGCCTGGGCAACCCTAAGCCCTGAACCCTGAACCCTGAACCCTAAACCCTAGACCCTAGACCCTGAACCCTAAACCCTAAACCCTGAACCCTAAACCCTGAACCCCAAACTCTAAACCCCGAACCCTAAACCCTAAAGACCAGCGAGAATGCACCACACATGTCGGCCTTCCCACTTTCCTTTACACGGATCGGACAACATCATCGAGGCGTCAACGCAGACGGGGCACTAAGAAGTGCAGTTTTTGCAGGGTTTGAGGGGTTTAGGGTTTAGGGTTTAGGGTTTAGGGTTTAGGGTTTAGGGTTTAGGGGTGCGCAGCACGCGGCACACTCGAATGCATGAGGCCTTGCGCCTTGGACATGCAAAAAAAGCGCAGCCCCGCGCCTCAAAGTGCAAGAAGCCTGCAGGCGGGGCATGCTGATACATCCTAAACCCTAAACCCTAAACCCTAAACCCTAAACTCTAAACCCTAAACCCTAAACCCTAAACCCTAAACCCTAAACAAGAGACGTAGGCCCATGAGGAGAAGTGGGAGGCAGCCCTCTCTACTCCGTGACTTCGTACTAGTAACAGGACATACCTTGGGGACCAAGTGAACCCTAAAATTGGGATCATATGTACCTTATACGACTACAGTCCTTGTAAGGCCAGGAAGAGGACCATCATTTAACCCTAAACCCTAAACCCATATGAACCATGCACCCTAAACCCTAAACCCTAAACCCTAAACCCTAAACCCAGAGTTCAATTGGCGGGTCAGGGTGGAGGAGCCTGCCGACCCAGGCGTCTTGACCGTCTGAAATTGGGATGGGTTCCCCCTTCTGCTCTAGCAGTCCTTAATCGGCATTCTCGTACCCGCTCCTTATACTAACGCCCCAGGTCTGAAACTCCATTCCCGAGGCTAGAGCTGTTGCGTACCGAGATGAGGAACTGGGTCTTCTGGTCCTTTGCGGGCGGAAGTTTTCGGTCGTTGTTCTGCTTGCGAGGACGGGCTATCCGATAACCTCCTAAAAAGGCCCTTTATAGGGTTGATTATGGGGATTATCGGGCCGAATAACCCGGGTCAGTTTTAGGAGTCAGAGGGTCGCTCACGCAATTTGGACAAGCCCACGCAGGTTCAAGTTCAGCACCTCTGGTGGGGTCGAAAACTCCCCCCCCCCCCCCCCCCCCCCCCCCCCCAATCCCGCCCACCCCCCCCCAAAAAATTACTAAAAGGGGGTAGCTCGGGAGCTACACCTCAAACGTTGCTAGGTTGCTTTATTATTTCAATTCCTAACATACCTTCTTCATTTTCTTCCCCCCTTCCACCTTATTCGTTTTTCGGAAGGGGCTTCTAGGGTTTTTTACCAAATATTGCCTTTTTACCCACGGTTTTCAGCATTTTTTCACCAATTCATTCCACCTCATTCATTTTTCACACTCACTCCCCAACATTCATTCCAATAATCCTACCACCGCCCCTTCTTCATTTCCCCTCATTTCCATCCTACTTTTCCAAAGCTCCCTAACAATACCCTTACCAATGTTTATAAGGCTTTACAGCTTTCAACCGCCAACAACATCATCGCCGGCTTCTTCAAGAAGGTGCGCCCTCCATGTTTTGACTTCGGTGCTTCTATGCGAGTGCTTCCTTTGTCAGTCTGGAAGTTGCTTTTGCTTGAACAGTGAGCATATCAATCTATCCGAAAGAATCTTTTGCTTTCAGCATTCAACAACTCCTCGCTTTTTCGCTTTGCTACTCGTCATGGCTTCCAGTGCTTATCCGACGCCTGTCAGCGATGTTGCTGATGCACAAGGCGAAGTTCTGCCACTGGTTCAGGGCGAAAGCAATGAAGGCAACAGCAGTGATGGTTCGGAGAGTGTGCATTCTTCGGATTTTGGTTCGGAGAAGTCCGACGATGAAGGTGTGACGAAGGGCTCAGGTGACGACCCGTCCCCTGTTGGAAAGAAGCACGAGGACGACGACGATGACAAGACAACTGGCGGCGCTACATCCTCTGCTGGTGAAGTGAGTGTCAAGAAGCTCCTGTTTGACGACCTTGACGAGAGCTACAAGTTGGAGATGAAGAAGCAGTCCTACGAGCAGTTGCAGGAGCACTTGGCGTCGGTTCTCGCCACGAACAAGGAGATTGTCTTGAAGCAGAAGTTCATTTCCGACCTGATGCGCACCTTGAAGAACGAAGAGAAGAAGAAGATGACGAAAGAGGAAAAACAGAAGAAGATGGACGAGCAAAAGAGAGAAAGGGAGAAGCTGAGAAACCAGAGCTTGACGCTCCACATCAGTTTCAACAACGTCATCACCAAAGTCACCTTGAAGGGTTCTCACACCCTTCGCGACCTTCGCGAGAAGTTCAGCGAGCAGGCTGGAATGACTAAGAAGCATGCGAAAAGGGTGCTCTTTCGGATGGGCAACGAGGTCATGAATGACCACGCTCGCAGAACAATGGCAGGATGGAAAGTTCGGAACGATGATGTGATCATCGCCAGTGTTTCCGGACAGGGCGGTATGGCAAAGCGTGGCAGAGGCGACTTGTTTGACTACGACTTGAATGAGTGCCCCGTGAAGCCGGAGCACCAACAGCTCTTTGAGAAGGTCTTCGCCACCAGCAAGGTCATCGCCGAGATGAAGGAGCCGAACCCCGAGGACATCATCAAGCTCATCGGAAAGGACGACTTGAAGGAGCTGGTTGATGACTTGTCGAGCAGTCGCAACCGAACGCAAGGGAAGCTGCTGACGATTGGCGACAAGGTGCCCGACATTCAGGAAATCAACAAGTTGATTGCTATGCTCACCTACACCTGCGACCGCTTCAAGCGCCTCTTCGGGAAGTCCTTGTACCACTACGGAAAGATGGGCGAGAAGTTCGATATGTCCATCGTCATCGGTCTGTTGAAGTCCAACTTGAAAGGCAGGTTTGTCAAAAAATTCACATATGTAATGTAAAAATTCACATATGTAATGTAAAAATTCACATATGTAATGTAAAAATTCACATATGTAATGTAAAAATTCACATATGTAATGTAAAAATTCACATATGTTACCACCCTTTGCTTGGGAGGCTCGGTTCCTGATGCTTCAATGAACTCGTGAGGGAGATGACACGACCTTCTGCTTGAACCGTCAGTTTTGCTGTGTGGTGCGGCGCACTTGTTGCCCTTACTTAATAACATCCTAACGTTTTTACGTAAGAACTACAAGAGGCATCAATGTGTAGCATCACTCGTGATTTCACCTACTGGGTGTCATTTCACGACAAGAACTGTCAAGTCTCGCCCCTCTGCTGACAAAAGAAGCTTTCAATCGTTAAGCACTCTATCATATTGTGAAGTTCTAACAGCCACAACGCGACTTAACTCGTGCCAGGTGCTCATGCTCAACAACGAAGCTCTCATCAATGACATCAGGAAGGCTCACGCCTTCAAGTTTAGGGTTGTATAAGATTTTAGGTTTTGAATACATAACTTCGGGAAAGGGATTGGTTCCAAAGGTTGAACAACCATCTCAGAACAGGAGCGGACAAGCATCCGACTGTTTATTTAAAACAAAGCATTTCGGGTTTAGGGTTTAGGGTTTAGGGTTATTTAGTTTAGTGGTTCTGCACCGCCCTCAGTCCGTTTTGCATTTAGGGTTGTAGGGTTTAGGGCTTTCGGTTTAGTGCTTTCGGTTTAGGACTTTCGGTTTAGGACTTTCGGTTTGCTTTCGGTTTAGTGCTTTCGGTTTAGGGCTTTCGGTTTAGGGCTTTCGGTTTAGGACTTTCGGGTCTTTCGGTTTAGGATTTTTTTCATTTTTAATTCCGCCTTTTCAGGCGATAGAGGTAAAAACAACGAGTTTTTCTTTACAACCTGTCGGTTGATTTTTATTCCGCCTTGCCATAGGTTCTCACAACAAACCCTGCACGCAACCACACACGGAAAGAAATCACCAACGAAAAACATTGAAAAACACCTATCAAAAACAAACGAAAAAATAAAAAACATCGCTTTTGAAAATACTGATTATAGAGGAGGTACTTTTGAAACACCAACCCGAGGGAAACGTTGCAACATCAAACCAAAAAATCAAAAGCGCCAACCCCAACCCCAGCCCAAAATCACTTAAAGAAAAGCCACCTTATATTATAATGGAGTCAGGGGAGTACCGTTCAGTGTTAAATTTCTTATTTTCAGATAAACAAGCAAACATAAAACGTAAGGGTAATAAGGAATACAAAAAGGTGATTATAAATGATGTTGAATATCCGTATAACAAAGAAAAGCCAATAGTTAAAAAACTAAAATCAAAACTGGAACAAGTTTCAAAAACTCCACAATACAGGCGCTTCAAAATCCTTGAAAAAGCTTCCAAAGGCATTCTAGCTAGAAACGCTTTAAAGAAATACGCTATTAAACACAAAGCCACAATCACCGATGAACAATCGGCTTTAAAATCTTACGCCAACACCTACTCAATATCTAACATAAAACTTCCTCATATGAAAGGCTTATCTTATTTCATACACCAAAAGGACAAACTAAACGAATACCTCAAAAAACACAAATCAATGAAGGTTATAGCTTTTGTTGAAATTGTTTTTGATGACATAGAAACAGAAGACGAAATAATACACTCAATAAAATCTAGACGTTATAATATATTCAATGAAGAAGATTTAGTAAATGCTTTAAACAATATGGGTAAAGACATAGAAATAACAGTAGCAGAAAAACAAATAGAAAGGTCAGGATTAAGAATTAAAAAAATTCATAAAATCACGATACATTATGACAAATACGACCCTACACGAGCAGGAAAATATTTTGACTTACCCGAATGGGTTATGAGAAAGAAGGCTTGCATCAACATAAAAAACGACGATGATATGTGTTTTAGATACTGTGTCTTATGTAAGTTTTACGAAATATTCAAAAAAGACCACCCTCAAAGAATGTATCATTATAGAAAATATATTGATGAAGATCATTTCATAAAATGGGATGATATGAATTATCCAGTTTGCAATGATGACATTGACCATTTTGAAGAAATAAACGGAAGAACAATATCAATAAATGTTTATACCATAGATGAAGAAAAGAAAACAATAAGACCCGACAAAATAACAACAATTTCAAAGCCAGTTTGTCACGTAAATCTTTTACGAATAGACCACGACGACATTTTTAATCATTATGTTTTAATCAAGGATTACAACAAGCTAATGTTTTCTCAAACCAATAAACACAAAGCAAAGTTATTTCATTGTATGTATTGTCAAAAAGGCTTTCAACAAGAAACGCTTTTAACAAATCACATAACAAAAGGTTGTCTAGCTAATGAAGTCCAATCCACACAGATGCCAGAAGAAAACGAAAAAATGCAATTCAAGAACCATTATAAAAAACTAAAAGCTCCTTATGTAATATATGGTGATTTTGAATGTTTGACAACACATTCAAAAGAAGGAATAAAGGGAACTTACGGTGAAACCCTAAGTTGCACTGAAAGCGGAACTTACGACCACGATAGTGGTCCTAGGTGTCCGAAGGGCACATACCAACATCATCAACCGTCCGGCTTTATGTTAAACGTTGTAAATTCAATAACGAACGAAATGACACCTTATCTATATCGTGGTGAAAACTGTATGGATAAATTTTGTGATACAATGAACCAAATAAGAGAAGAAGTAATGGATAAGATGATGAGTCCGAAAGAAATGATTATAACACCACAAGAACAAGAAGAATTTGAAAAATCCACTCACTGCTTTATCTGTAACGGTAAATTCACAGACAAGGGAAAAGATAAGAAGAAGGTAAGAGACGCGAGTAGCTCGCGTGCTTCCTTTGGAAAAGTGCGCGACCACTGCCACTTTACAGGTAAATATAGAGGCGCCGCACATAACAAATGCAATCTTGATTATTGTTTCAGATACTTTAAAATTCCCGTTTTCTTTCACAACCTTAAAAACTACGATGCTCATCTCGTTATATCTAACTTGGAAAAGCTAAACACAAATAAAGACCAAATAAGCGTCATAGCACAGAACAGTGAAAAGTTCGTAACTTTTGAACTTAAACAGTTACAGTTCAAAGATAGTTTCAGTTTCCTATCTTCTTCACTGGACAAGCTAGTAAAATTAACAAAATATGAAGGAAACGAAAAAAGAACCGACTGGCAGGACAACTTCAAATACAGTAAAAACAGCAAATATATAAAATCAGACGAATGTCTAGACTTATTAACTGACAAAGGCGTTTATCCATATGACTATTTTGATAACTTCAACAAGTTCAACGAAAAAGAACTACCACCAATAGAAGAGTTTTACAGTAAGCTTACGGAAGAGCACATAAAACAAGAAGAATACGAAAGGGCACAGAAGATATACAAGCACTTTAACATTCAAAATTTAGGTGAGTATCACGACCTTTACCTTCAAACAGACGTTTTACTATTGACCGACGTCTTTGAAAATTTCAGAACAAAATGTCTTGAAGATTATCATCTTGACCCCGCTCACTACTTCACTTTACCTAACTTCGCTTGGGACGCTATGCTTCTAAAAACAGGAATAAAACTAGACCTAATCTATGATGAAGAGATTTATAAAATGGTTGAGAAGGGGCTTCGTGGTGGAATGTGTCAGGTCTCACACAGAAAAGCCGAAGCAAACAATAAGTATATGGAAGAACAATACGATGAAACTAAACCCTCTTCTTACATAAACTACCTTGACGCTAATAATCTTTATGGTCTGGCGATGTGTCAGAAATTACCATATAAAGATATAAGATGGATTAAACGACAATTTACCGAAGACGACATAAAAAATTATTCCGACCTTTCCACTGGCTATATTTTAGATGTTGATTTAGAATATCCAAAAGAGCTACACGATAAACATTCTGATTATCCACTAGCACCCGAAATTATGAATGTTACTGCTGATATGCTTTCAGAAGCGCAAAAAGACATTTACAGAAAAACCTATACCAAAACCTATAAAAACGGTGAAGTGGTAGGACTAGACCCGAAAGACGAAAAGACCAAGAAATTAATATTGAATGTAAATGACAAATCAAATTATGTTCTTCACATTAACATATTAAGATATTATTTAAAACAGGGACTAAAACTTAAAAAGGTTAATAGAGTTATAGAGTTCAAACAAAAGCAATGGCTAAAACCTTGGATTGACTTCAACACAGACAAGAGAAAACAAGCCACATCGGACTTTGAAAAGGATATGTATAAATTAATGAATAACGCCTGTTATGGAAAAACTATGGAAAATGTAAGAGAGCATATAAATTTTGAACTGGTTGATACACCCGAAAGATTTCAAAAGTGCGTTAATAATCCTACTTACAAACACAGACATATTATAAACGAAAATCTCGTTGGAGTTGAAAAGTTGAAGGAAACAGTGAAACTAAACAAACCTATTTATGTTGGAATGTCCATTCTAGACTTATCTAAATTACATATGTATTCGTTTTATTATGATGTTTTAAAACAACGGTATAAAGAAAATATTAATCTTATATACACTGACACAGACAGCTTCGTTATACACACAAAAACGGAAGATATATATGATGATTTCAAAGAGCTCTCTAAACATATGGATTTCAGCGGTTATGACAAAAATCACAAATGTTATGACCCCACTAATAAAAAGGTTCTTGGAAAGTTTAAAGATGAATGCGACGGAAAGATTATGACACACTTCATAGGCTTGAAACCTAAATCTTATGCTTTCAGGATTTTCAAGGAAGACAAGGAAGAAAAGAAATCAAAAGGCATAGTAAAACACAAAGTGAAGAAAGAACTGACCTTCAAGAAATACGAACAGACATTAGAAACAACACAATCTGACAAAGTATCTTTCAACAGCATAAGAAGCAAGAACCACCAAATCTACACAATAAACCAAATCAAACAATCATTATCATCATATGACAATAAGCGTTATTATATAGATAGTGTAAAAAGTCTTCCCTTCGGGCATTTTTCAATAAAATAATACAAAAGGACTTAAAGACAAAACGCCCTATATTATTAAGAACTTAACAATGGAAGGTCAAACACTCAAAAAGATTAAGACA